TGTTTACTCTCTCCCTTCCTCTTTCTTCTGGTGGTTGACTGCATTCTGAATACCTTGACATCTGAGGGAAAACACGGAATACAATGGATAGCTCGAAACCAATTAGACGATTTGGACTTCGCAAATTCGAAGCGGAGAGCAACAGTCAAATCACTCTTGATGGAGAAACTGTGGAAGATGTTGAATCCTCCACATATCTAGGAAGCATCATCGATGAACAAGGAGGTTCAGCTGCAGACGTGAAGGCGAGGATTGGCAAAGCAAGGACAGCATTCCTTACAATCGAAAAACATATGGAACTCAAAACAACTTTCAACCAATATCAAAATGAGAATCTTCAATACGAATGTCAAGGCAGTTCTACTGTATGGAGCTGAAACTTGGAGAACTACAACAACCACAATCAAGAAGATACAAGTATTTATAAATAGCTGTCTACGCAAGATAATCAATATCCATTGGCCGGATACCATCAGCAATAGCCTTCTGTGGGAGAGAACAAACCAACTTCCAGCTGTAGAAGAAATTAGGAAAAGACGTTGGAAATGGATAGGAAACACACTACGCAAATCATCAAACTGCATCACTGGGCAAGTCCTAACTTGAAATCCTGATGTGAAGCGGAAAATAGGAAGGCCAAAGAACACATTACGTCGGATAATAGAAGCAGATATGAAAAGGATTAATTACAACTGGAAGGAGCCGGAAAGGATTGCCCAGGTCAGGGTTGGATGGAGAATGCTGTGAGCGGCCTATGCTCCTTCACGAGGAGTAACAGGCGTAAGTAAGTAAGTAAGTAAGTAGTATACATACAGTGAAAGATTGACAAAATAAATACAAATAATAACAAAAACTATTTACAAGATAAGCTTGTCAGTCATATCTCCACACGACTTACAACTTCTGAAAATTAAGTTTCGTGAATTTTATTGTAGTGTAATAACGTTTTAGCGCATAAACAAGTATCATCAGGAGCTATTAAGGTGTACCAAACATAAACACTCATCTATTTGCTCCAATCTAAACGAATCCATACAGACGTGAAGTACACAAAAATAAATTTTCTACAAAACGGACACTAGCGAATCCAAGTTGTCAAAGTTTGATTTACACAGGTTTTTACGCTGTTCAACTTCAATGTCAACCGCGTTTTAAAGAAGAACTATTCAGTGCTTAAACACTGCTAATAAACACATTTCCGGCGCTCTAACTAGGTTGGCGAATAGAGAAGATCAACCTAAAGAATTTGGAAAACCCTGCTTCCAAATTGGTGGTGCACATGGGCTCCAGGAACCTGAGGGAATAAAGGGTGTATGACTGCATCTCATAACGTTGATCCACTGTCTTGTGGGTTACACCTGTAGGTCAGCGGCTCGAAGAGTGGCATGCTTAGAAAACCACCTGTTTCAGTTTTGGTGCCCGATCGGTATTCTAGCCCTCACACATATGTACTTCTTGCCTTATTGTACCAATGTTTATGTGCTTAAACAAATAAAAATCATGTCACTTTTCATCGGACTTCATTAATGGACCAAACCACTTCATAGATACAAATATTCTGAGTTATACCCTGGAAACAAGATGAAATGTAACCATTGAGACAATTAATTATTATCGATTATTGCTGTTAGATTTGGTAATTCATAACAATTGGTGGCTACCACACAAGTTCTGGACTTGTTTTCATTTCAAATGGATGAAAAAACTTTGTATCAGGCATTCAGTTCAAGAAATTGAGTTTTAACGGCGAACTAAAACGTTTGTGGAATTATGGTCTTCTATGATATTAGTACTGCTCTAATAATAAACATAATCCTAAAATTGTAGGTTTGTCATGATATAACTGCCTAATCTATAACATCTTACGTGGAAGTCACATAATCGTCTACACCAACTCACTGTGTCGTAACAATTACCAATACATGATGGAGAACAAGCATGGGTTGGAGAAAGAACAATATATTTAATATGAATAAAAGATATAAGGTAACATTCAGCAGGGACCACGCCTGCATGGACGAGCCATGCCATTCGATCAACTCCAATTCATTCAATACATTCTTCCCGCCTTCTCCATCGTTATGTATTTCTCCGCGTTAAATATTGGATATTTACTTTCCGAGTTGTCTCGTGTTCAGCTTTGAGGATTGTGTGGTTATGGTCCAGTGCCAGTACACGTTCCTTCTAATGACCATCTTATTAACAAACATGGTGTGATGGTATAAATAAAAAACTTGCCAAAGACATTTCTGTAAGCATTAGCAAATGAATCGCAATACCTACAGAACAGAATAACTTACAAAAACCACTTGATATGAACGAAATAACCTGTTCAAACGGAGATGGTTATGATCACATGCTACAAAGTGTTACTAGGTAACAAGTTGAAAATAATAGCCATAGATACAAAGACCCATGCAAGTTCTTTAAATATCTCGCAGTAACTGAAGAAAACAAAAAGACCGGGAAAAGATTAATGGATGAGACTATAATTTGTGGAAGACATTTGAGAGATAATGAAGGGACCTTGAGAGTGGAAACCTACTGACTTGGACTAAATGAGGATCATAAAACAGTAAGAATTCTCATTTACAATTGGTGGTTAGGGTTAGAAATTAGATTTAGGGGTTTCTTCACGAACCTACATCAGCTCTGATGCCAAAACTCTATTTAGCCAAAAGTATGGATGGATTTCGCGCCGTACCTTGTAACTCGTTAGTTTATATCTGACTGGTTCGTTCATAAAGTATAGTTCCGCCGATTAATGGATTAAACAACTTAACAAGTTCGTTGGGTTTCTAACTACGGTTCCTACAACCTCTCAGTCAAATGAATTGGTCGTGTATAACCGTCATGTTGGTGATAAAAAGACTAGTAACTGCATTCATCTATCATAGTTTAAATAATGACCGAAATTCGAGGAAATTACATGCATAGAATAGGATGTGAATGGAACTAATTGTAAGCAGAAAGTCAGAGGACCGACAAGAAGGATTTAAAACATTTTAGCTATAGACGATACTGCCTAAACCAGTTGTTGGTTGGTCATATAGTCAGACACCTGTAATATCACAGAAAAGCCAAAAATAGTGGTTGCAAGTGTTAGAAACTACGATACGTATCACTCAACTTACTTGTTGAAATACAGTCATATTCTACGAACAACGTTGTCTCAGTTGCATTGTCGATCATGAAAAAACATTCTCTCGCCAACAAATCAGCAGATAAGTCAAATGAATAATGAACGGAATTTTTACATATAGAATGACCAGAACATCTTCTAGATATATTGGCAGTCACATAGACTCAACAATCTCGAGAATTGTGTGCGCAACACAGATTGGTTGAGTTTGACATAAGTAGAATAACCAAAGTGAGCCTCATGAATAATTATTGTTTTTTTAGAGCCGCAATGTATTTGCAGAGACTCGATAGTTATAGCATGACCATTTCCAACCTAAAATTCCGCAGTGATACAACTGCAGAAATGGATAATTACCAGCTGAAGCTTCAAAAATGCAGATGAAGATCCATACTTGGTGTGTAAAGAAAATACCAAGAAGCATACTTCATAGTCAGTCTGTAATGGAGTAGGTATTCAAGAATTAACTAAATAATAGTTGTTAGTTGATCCTAAGGTTTCGCATAGACATTTGGTAAGCAAAATTTAGATATCATGATTTTATTCATAATTTGGTCAGTGATTGCAGATTCTGTTTACAGAAACTTATTCGAAAACCCTATAAGAGACACATCATAAATCAGTATTAACGATGACATGGTCTTTTCACCATGCTCAAAATAAAAAAGCATAGTTTTACTTATTAAGACTTTGTGACTATTTAATGTAGCACTTCCAGTAGTGTTGTATACTGTTCCTATATACGTTCAGAAAGCGGATGGAGAGGACTATCAACGTCAATTGTTACTCACATAATTCTTCTCAGATACGTTAAATAATATTAAGTCACTTCAGTACAAAACGATGATACTTATAACGGATATAACTGTTTATGGCTAAATATTAACAAGTTACATAATACTGATTAACAGATTAAGGCATAATTGCTTCTACCTACATTTTATAAACAACTACCAACATCCATGTTCATCATCACCACGATCAAGGATGTGAACCATATGTAATACGTTTTAAAGCTCATTTTCCTGATTACTCAATCTGTGATCTATTTTTTAACTTGAAAGATTGTAAATTTTACTTAATCGACTTTGTAATGTTACAAATAACCATATTAGGTTTACTAAAGATTCACTCACGTGGTGAGCGAGAAATACGTCAAACTGCTAATAAATTGGAGTAAAAACTAAATAGAAAGCACAAACATTACGAAAATTGACGTGTGACGGAAAAAAGGCTGTTAATAGCTGATAAATAACGGCACAAAAAATCCTCGACAATATGTTACATGTGCGCGAAGACCCGTGGCATCACAACCTGACTGTGCCCCTAAATTACTACTGTTCCTTTTAAATAGCGCGCGTTGTTGTTCAAAATGGTTCAAATGGTTGTGGACGGAATAGAAGAAGCTTTCGCTTAACAGGCTTCCGTGTCTAGTAGCAGGGGATCACGAAATCCTCCAGGCAGGAACCTAGGTATGTTAACAATAAAAGAGGAAAGGAAAATTGGTAAATCACAGTGCGATGCTGCCCTTGGTTCTTAAGAATAGGTCAAGTTGCCTCTTGAAGGACTCCTGAGAAGTCGCTTGGACTAGCTCGGCCGGCAGCGAGTTCCAGCTTTTGACAACTCTTAAGGAGTAGAAGTTGTGTCTACATTCCGTCTTGCTATGTTGTGTTTCCAGTTTCTGGGTGTTACGCCTTAGGTTATTGTTCGAACTAAGCTTAAGTAGGTTGCATAGCGCCTGAAAGCGTTTCAATGCCTTTTCATATTAGGATTAAATGACAACCTTACTAACTATGGTTATTAGATAGTTGATTCATTGAAACTTCCAACTTGAGAGTTTATGTGTCTGAGAGGTGACCTTCTAACGACCTAATGTATCCTTAAGTGTCTGGTTTGAACGTTACCGTTACGGTAAATGTTACAAACAGGTTTTAGAATTCAACCAAACTGGGATAAGGCTTTAAGGTAAATGGACATTATTTTTTGTAACCGATAGTGAAAATGAAAAATACATCTGGTTTCATCAGTATGACACTGGTGAGTCTTATGAGCCGCTTATTTGTAAGTTTCTACCAAGTATCACAAACTGGAGAACAGAGGGTTTTCGCTGGTACCGGATAACCAAAATGTTTTTTGTGATTTGGTTACACCTGTAATGCTAAGTTATCAAACGAATTGTTTTTTAGAAGCTCTTAAAACTATCGTCAGAAAACCCAGTCATCAACAAATTTTTTCAGTGTCCAGATTCCTCCTTCGACGTTTTGAGCGGTATTTCTAGAAATGCAGGTCATGATTCAGTAACCTGTAATCATCAGCCTCGTCCTCATGTATTTTCTTTTGATGTTAGTGCAAGTGGTGAACATTTTATTGCTTCTTTCACTGGGTCATCTGTAAACTTGTATGAAAATATAACGGGAAATATTCGGGTATGTACTGGTCTTGTTGTTGTTTTGCTATGAATATTTCACTTCCACAGAACTGTAGCTTAGATAAAGTATGAACCCCAACTCTTTTGCTGTGTTTAGCAGTACCTGCAGGTACGGCTTGATCCTTAGTGATTATAAAAAGTGAGGTATAATCTCATACAAGGCACCAGCTGAAAGAACGAAATTTGTGAACAACCTTTGCAAAACGCTCAGGTGACCCTGAAAAGCCCACCTATCTAATGAGGTCATAAAATGTTATTAATCAGTGAGGAATCCGAATTACGTTTTGGAGCTTTGATTTAAGAATTATATTTGGGGTTTTCATCACTGACCGATGTCAGCTGAAATGCCAAAACGCTATTTAGCCAAGTGGATGAGTCAGTATCGCGCCAAAATTCAAACATGACATGTTCTCTACTTTCTATCGCAGAGTTGAAGTCATTGTTGAATGTACCGTCAAAATTATACCACATAATGTATGTGAATATCACGAGGTATATCTGCTATCAGTTTCACCGAATATGTAAACCACCGTCGTATTCGGGTTCCACAAAATCCTTGAGAACATTCCCGCGCTATCTAAAAAGGACAGTGGTACTGTTTCTCGTTAAGTTAATTAACTGTTTTGATCGTAAATGACGCATCAAAACCACTGTTTACACTTTAATTGCATCTACTCCAGTTAAAGTGATATTGTATTGAGTGTTTTGATTTTGCTCTTGTGTATTTATTGCATCGAAGCATGCTTGGTCGACTTTTACTTGATTTATTTAGTTAAGGTTTGAGAATTCTTTTACATATCCTGTTTGTGTCACCGTTGTAGTTAATTTTCGAGATGGCTAGCTCTGCTCATAACTGTGGACAACCATATTGCTTATTCCCCGTGGAGGAAGGGATGCGATGTGATGAGTGTAATAAGTGATTCCATAAGATGTGCACCCGATTAAGCCCCACTGCATATAAAAGGTGCTCAAAGCTCAACTCTCATTGGCTTTGTAGTTTTTGTTGCTCGAGCAAAACATTACTCATCCAAGAAGCAGTTAGCCTCCTGATGTTGTTAATAAAAAGGTTGATGAGGGCCGTACTGGTAACATTGGTACTGATGGCGAAGATTGCGTTAGTGTTGTAATTGCTGTCACGGCGCAAGCCAGACATCTGCCTGTGCGACCCGCAGTTAAACGTTCTCCCCCGAAACGATCAGTGAGTGACACCTCATTAGACGTTGGTGGTCATATTGCTACAGCTGCGACTGGTGGTCCAGATAAGACAGTTGCTGTCCCGAGTTGTTCTAATGTAGATGTTTCGACTGATGGAAAATGGATGACGCGAAAACGCAGAAGAGTAGAAAAGACAGCTAAAACTAATGACTGTTTACTTGATAAGTCCTTGGTGGACTCAGACCAATCCGCCGAAGTCTCATAGTAAAGCTTCGTTTAACATTGTTGTGAGTCACTCGCTTGACTCCCAGGACTCTGTTACAATAAAAACTAATCGTAAGGTACCAGTAGTTAATATACAGGATCTAACGTCACGGTCGAAAGGAAACTAAACCGCTTCCTAGTTTAATTATTTGGAATCTAGAGGAGTCGAAAGACAACGACCCTGCTAGAAGACATACACATGACCTGCAGTTAGTGGTCTGTGGTAAGAAATGTACTACCTGAAGAGCTTTCAGGGGTATATATTACAAAAGTAATACGACCTGGTAAACGGGTTGGAGGCGAGACCCAACCAAGAGGAATCCTGAAGCTGGTTCTCGGGAGTTTCGAAGAAAGAGACATATTATTGAAAAACGCACCAGTCAGTTAGTAACTACGTAGAACTTCGTACGTACGTACATCAGTTCGAGTTGCCACACCACCTTAGCACAGAGATGCAGTTGTCGATTCAAATCCCGTAGTTGTAGAGGTAGCAAGAGTATAAGCAGTAATCGGGAAGATTAGAGTTTGGAGATGTTATTTAAAGAGTATAATCCAGTGAAATAAATTTGGAAAGAGGAAAAAAGGGACATGGAGAATTCAGAAGATTAGAATATGGGAGAACACAAAAAGTGGATGCACCTGCGCCATTGCAAACGATCTTGAGCCATGTCATTCAGGGTCTCTAACCATCGGTTGCTATCATCTCGTGGTCCCCAACCAGGTAGTCTACACCTACCAACATGACTCAGTCCACTTGTCAGTGACTTCATGGACTTGTGCCATGTTTTGGTTTGGCCGCCTCTAGCTTTCTTCCAACCTACTCCTATACCACTGAACATAGCACGTCGAGGTAGTCGGTCGTTGGGCATACGTAACACGTCCCAGCCATCTCAACTGATGAAGTTTCACTACTTCATCAATTGATTTGCCATCCTTACCTAGTACCCGTTTCCTAACAACTACGTTACTTACTCGATGGTCCCATGATATACGAGCAATGTTTCGAAGACACCTATGATCGAATACTAGTAACCTACGGATATCCTCTACTCTTACCGGCCATGTTTCACTGCCATAAAGTAGGACGGAACGAACTGCTGCACAGTAAACTCGTCCTTTGGTTGATAGACGGATATCTCGCCTACGCCATAAATGACGCAAGTTGGCAAAAGCTAGTCGAACCTTCTGTATCCGTGCTGAGATTTCGACACACACCAGACCACAAGGGCTGATGAGACTTCCAAGATAAGTGAAGCGGTCGACACACTCAACTACTTCACTCCCTATCACTATTTCGGGTGTCGATGTAACCCAATCCTGAAGCAACATTTTGCATTTCGAGGGTGAGAATGGCATCCCGAACATGCTTGTATTGTTGCTTAGAGTGGTCAGAAGACTCCGCATTTTGTCAGCGTCTTCGCCAAATAAAACTATGTCGTCTGCATATTCTAAGTCAACAAGTGAACCACCCGGTAGTTCAACCCCTGTAAATTTAGATGACGAGAGTGTTATCTCTAAAAGTACGTCAATGACAAAGTTGAACAAGAATGGGGAGAGCAAAAAAACGCACCAAAAAAAACTCGTGACTCAAATATCCGTATTCGACCAGATTGGCCGCTTGAGGATCGAATCAAGTGGAAGAATGCTCTTACTGAATTAAGACCTCGCAAGTTAAATGGCGAAAATAACCTTACCATTAAAGGTTTTCGGGTAGTCAGGTCTTGGAAGCCAATGCTCCCGAGGCCTGTATCGGTAGAACGATGGATTGCCAAAACACGAACGCTCGTAGTCTTAGAAATAAAACGTTAGAGCTAAGTCTGATGGTGGAAGTATTATGTCCTGATATAATCGTTGTTACAGAAACTTGGTTCACAGTAGATATGGACTGTTCTCCCATCATTGCAGGCTATATCTTTATTAGAAGTGATAGAGTTTCAAGTCTCAAAGAGGGAGGTATAATATTATACGTTAGGGATCACTTTCGTATACAATCAACCATATCAGTGGCACATGTGAGGTTGCATGTTGTAAGATTAAATCTAGAAATGGGTTAGTGACTATAGGGGGAATATACCGTAGTCCGTCTTGTCTTGCTGACGACTTTATCCTGAGACACATCTGTTCTTGGAGTATGGCAGAATGTTGTCTCATCATTGGGGACTTCAACGCACTTCATATTAGCTGGATAGAGCTTACAGTTCCAGCTAGTAGTTTCGATAGCGACCTTTTATCTACCGTTATTCAGTGTGCATTTGTACAATGTATCACAAAACCGACACATTGATTTCAATCATGATCCGTCACTGCTGGGCCTCGCCCTGACCCACCACCGTGAGGATGTCTTTGATATTCAGCACCTTCCCTCACTAGTGAACAGTGATCACATTGCAATTCACTCTAAGTTTAGGACACATGGTATACAATCCGTATCTGCTCCACCCCGTCCCAATATCTGGCGAGTCAATATTCCGGCAATCAGAAACTGTGCTATCTCGACCGATTGATCGGTCGACGCGGATGGATTGATCGAAGATGAATGGAATAAGTTTATGGCTACATTCGAGTCCGTAACGTCGCCGTTTATCCCATGGCCAACACGTAAGCTATCATATTGCCCTCCATGGATTAATAAGGAAACCCAGAAGCTGTTAAAGCGTAGGAAACATTTCTGGGACTTATTCTTGTTGACAGGTCATGCACCATTTAAGCGTGAGTACCGAAAATTCCGTAATATCTGTAAGAAAACCATAGCCAAATCCCGTATCACTTACGAACGACAGTTAGTATATGATAGCCGTACTTGTCCGAAACGATTGTTTTCGTATGTTAAACGGCGAATGAAACGTAGTGATGATACTCCCCCGTTACCGTTGCACGAAAATTCAGATTTACTAGCTGAATCAGATGGAGCAAAAGCTGTGACTTTTTCAAACTATTTTAGCGAAGTCTACTCTACGTTTATTGCAACAAATACTTGTCCCACTCACACCGAAATACCGACCATTGAATCCTTACAGGTGACCGAGGAAACTGTCCTTCCGTTGATAACTAACCTCAAACGTGGTAAGATGCCGAGACCTGACGGGTTACATCCACGGTTGCTGTCATCTCTTGCGGACATTATTTCAAAACCGCTCACGACACTCTTCAACATGTCCCTTTCACTCGCTCAACTCCCTAGAGATTGGAAGGACGCTATAGTCAGTCCTATATTCAAGGACGGTCAGAGACAGATAGTATCTAACTACCGGCCTATCAGTCTACCTAGCGTAGTCAGTCAGTCAGTCAGCTACAACGTAGGACCAGGCACATATGTGCATCGGTCCAGGTTGCCATACCTCATTAGCACAGCAAGATGAACAGCGGATTCATAGGAGTGGTTAGGTCAAAGGTTGCAATAAGGATATAGTATAGGAAGAAAGAATTAGTTCGTAGACAGAAAGAATGAAGTGATTTTAGTCTCTTAATTTAAGGGAAGACAGGGAGTGTATACACCGACGCCATTGTGATCGATTCTGAGCCATGTCACCAAGAGTCTCCAACCATTGGTTGCGAAAGTCACGCGGACCTCAACCAAGTAGTCTGCATCTACCAACATGGCTCAGACTAGAAGTTAGTGACTTCAGGCACTGATGCCACGTTTTGGTTTGGCCGCCCCTAACTTTCTTCCAACCATCCCCTACCCCGGTTAGCATTGCACGTCGTGGTAATCGGTGTTCAGGCATACGTAATACGTGGCCCAACCATCTCAGTCGATGAAGATTCATAACCTCATCAACTGATTTACCATCATTCCCTAATACGCTGCGTCTAACCTCACTATTAGTTACCCGGTGATCCCAGCAGATGCCAGCAATACTTCTAAGGCATCTGTGGTCAAATACTAGTAGCTTACGGGTGTCTTCTACTCTTAAGGGCCATGTTTCGCTGCCGTAAATTAAAACAGAACGAACTGCCGCGCAGTATTCTCGTCCTTTTATTGATAGACGGATATCTCGCCTTCGCCAAAGGTGACGTAAGTTGGCAGAAGCCAAACGAGCTTTTCGAATCCGTGCTGAGATTTCGTCAGACACCAACCCATTAGGGCTGATCAGACTTCCAAGATAAGTGAAGTTGTCAACGCGTTCAACTACTTCACTCCCTATCCTTAGTTCAGGTGTTGACGGAGACCAGTCCTGAAGCAACAACTTGCATTTAGAGGGAGAGAAGCGCATCCCAAACATTCTGGCATTGTTGCTTAGTGCTACCAGAAGACTCTGCATTTTGTCAGCGTCTTCACCAAACAGGACTATGTCATCTGCGTATTCTAAGTCGATAAGTGGACCTCCTGGAAGGAGATCAATACCCGAGAATTCAGTCGACGAGAGTGTTATTTCCATCAATAGGTCTATGATGAAGTTAAACAAAAAATGGAGAAAGTGGACAGCCTTGACGGACACCACTTGTGGTTGCAAAAGTAGATGACAGTTCGCCATAAGCCCTGACTCGACTAGTAGTGTTCGAGTAAAGAGCCTTCACAAGGTTTATGTACTTCTGAGGTACGCCTTTCAATGACAGACACTGCCACAGAGTCTCGCGGTCTACAGAATCAAATGCTGCTTTTAAGTCAAGAAAGACCACCATCGTCGGACGCCGATAGGTATGCCTGTGTTCTAGAACCTGACGAATGGTGAATATGTGGTCGATGCAGCCACGACCAAGTCTAAAGCCAGCTTGGTTCTCTCGAGTTTGTAGTTCACGAGTCTTAGTTAGGCGTTTGATAATTATCGAGGCCAGTATTTTAGATACTATGTTTGTTAAACTAATCCCTCTGTGGTTGTCACAGGATGATTTTGACCCTTTCTTATATATTGGGACGATAAGTGATTGCGACCAGTCAGATGGGATAAAGTCTAATTCCCAGATCTTAGCTAAAATATTAGTCAACCTGATCGCCATGTTAGACGATGTCTCTCCTTATGCTTAAAATTTGTGTTTGCTAAAAATAAACGATTGTCTGAGTATAGCTGCAGCAGACGATCACCATTATCTGTTCGCTGTGTCGGAATACTAAAATATCCACCTAAATGCCTTTCTGTTTGGTTTTAAACTGCCTATCTGAGCATTAAAATCACCTGCTACGAGTACTATGTCTGAGCGTTTAGCTTTCTGAAGAAGTTCGGACAGCTTTCTGTAAAATTCATCTTTCACATCATCTGAGCTGCAGTCAGTGGGAAACGACAAAAAGGCAACGACGTGTGTCCCTATCCTTCCGAGTTCTTACGTAGCCGTTCAGCCGAACAGCACATAGACGACTGTTGACGGGGATCCACTCTAGCAGTGCTTGTTCGGCCCTCATGCTTAGTGCTATGCCTACACCTGCCAGTCCACGAGAAATTGCCATCGGGTCACCAGATACACGAAGGGTGTACCTCGTTGGCTCGTTAAGTTACTTGAAAAGATAATTCGGGTTAGGTTGCTAAGCCACATAGATTCACACAATCTGTTAGCTCCTGAACAACATGGATTTCGTAACAAACGTTCATGTTTGACTAACTTACTTATTTCGAGAGAGGATTGGACAGCAGCCCTAGATAACGGTCTGTCTGTCGATGTGATATTCATAGATTTTGGCAAAGCATTTGACAAGGTTTCACACGTAGGTCTTATGCAGAAACTCACGAGCTTCGAAATAATAGGTACTGTACAGGAGTGGATAGGAAACTTCTTATGTGACCGCAGACAGAGAGTGAAGGTCAATGGAACTCTATCCGATTGGAAGTCGGTCAAAAGTGGTGTACCCCAAGGCACCATCTTAGGCTCTCTGCTCTTCCTTCTCTACGTTAATGAGTTACCGCTGTTGCTTAGGTCGTTGACATTAATTGTTTGCGGATGATGTAAAAATCTGGAGAACAATAAAAAGTGCGGCTGATCATCTGGATCTTCAAGCTGACTTAGACGATTTATTTAGATGGGCTGGAGAGTGGGGCTTAGAAATCAATGCTAGGAAGTGTGTGCTAATGCACATCGGTCACAATAATAGTTAACGTTATACTATTGAGGGTAAACCTCTTCCATGCGTTCAAGAGCATAAAGACTTAGAAGTAGTAATAAGTCATGATTTAAAAACAACTACTCATTGCAAAGCAGCCGCTGTCAAAGGTTTTCGTGCGTTATGGTCACGTCGCCGAGCGTTCAAATCTTTTGACGAGGAGACGTTTCGAATTTTATATCCCATATATGTAAGACCACACTTAGAGTACTGTATCCAAGCAGCTAGCCCGTGTCTGGTGAATGATACTAACTCCCTTGAGCGTGTCCAGCGTGTGGGAACGAAATTAGTGAAGGGTCTTCCTGGACTCCCTTACGATGAGCGTTTAAAACGCCCGAACCTTTTCCCCTTGTCGTATCGTATGACACGAGGTGACCATATACTGGTATTTCGTATCTTTAATTATGATTTGGGTGTTAATATGTCTTATCTTTTTGCTCCCTCCAGCACTAATAATCTCCGAGGTCATAGCAAGAAGGTTCATAAACCACGATCTAATAAACCTAAAATGGGGTCCCGTTTTTCTCATCGAGTAGTCAATGATTGGAACGCTTTCCCCGAACAAGTGGTATTAGCCTTATCAGTGAATATTTTCAAGGAGAAGCTGGACCTTCACTGGAAAGCAATGTGCCAGGATTAGTACAGGTTGATCAACCTACTATCTTTATTACTGAAGACTGAGAAGAAACTGAGGAGTTAGCTTGGTTTCAGTTATATACAGGATATCTCAACTACGATTCTACCCCTAACCACCATCATGCGTGATGTATGTCATGAACGTTATTTGATTACAAGACTGTCTCGAACTCAGCAAAACTGTTTGGAATTTTTTTTTCGAAACTTATATCTGGGAGACTCATTGACATCTTTACAATAGCTTACAAATTTATCTTTAACACATTTTCAAATACACCCGGAAATCGACTGTGATTTCCTCCTATGATTTACATAAACAGTAAATTGTTCTTTCGAAAAAGGTGAACATATTTTGGATATCAGTACTGGTTTTCGTTATTTAGGAAAACGTCATTTTATCTTCCGTAGCTTACTTCTCAGTTTTTCGTGGTAAAAAGTTTCGTTTCTGTAATATGCAGTCAAAAAAAGTAGTCTCTCTTATGTCCGTTACAGTGAACTCAGTATGTTTAATCGCCTTTGTGTAACTCGACTTTTAGGTTTGTATTGATATGACTTTCACATATAGTAGGTATATTTTACATATATGAAGACCTTGGGTTACATTTAAATCTATCGTAATGACTCAGGGATACGTATATTCGTTATCTTCTTGTAACTCGTCGTTTCCTACTTTTCATTTATGGACTCCATTTATCTTGTGGAATTAGTTTTGTTTCATAGTTCTATGTTTTCTTTTATTTATATAAAATGTAGCAATTAGGATAAGTACATATTTTATGCCTGGTTCTGTTTGCTACGATTTTGGTCAACAAATTTCTTTAATTTCCCACTGGTGGCTTCAGTTAAGTTTTTTTTCAATCCCTTTTTTTCCAGCGTTCTCTCGAAGGTCATGTCGGAGATGTATATACCTGCAAATTTTTTCCATCTGGGCTAGTTGCACTCACAGCAGGCAGTGATATGCAGTTAAAAATTTGGTGTCTCATTACTGGTCGTTGTGCAGCCTCTCTTGGTTTAAATTGCACTAATTCTAATAATAAAAATGAACCAGGAGGTCATAGGACTGGTATCCTAGACACGGCCATCATAGATCGTGGTCGTAATATTGCGTCTATAGATCGACTAGGTTGGTTAAGGCTATGGGATGTAGCGACACAAGTAAGTAAATTAAATTTGAATGATTACAAATTTAAGGTTTTTTCATCCACTTAAAACTTTCGTACGAGTAGCTAGAAATAAGGGAAATAGCAGAAGTTGTAAGCACTAAATTCCATATCAAATGAGTTTTTACTTGCATGTAATAGTAAAACAATTATCGTTTTCTTCGTTATGGAAGGCTAAACCGTTGTATTCTGGAGTGTAATTAGACTTGTGTGAGACTTTCCCAAGGCATTTTGTGCGATACTATGATCTAAAAATAATCGTCGAATTCCTCTTAAAACTGCCACACAGAGAAACAAACTTATTTCATCATTAGGCTAAATAACTCAATAGTCAGCCAACCATCATTAACAAAGAGCCTCATGCCAGTGGAAGATGCCGTACGAAATCAGCACAAGATGAGATTAACATAATGAGTAACTGAAGTGTCGAAATAATAGTGACACTAGTCACTAACGGTATGATCCGACAAGACGTAGTGAAAAAGTTTTGTGTTGTTGAAATTTGAATAGGCGGAAGTTGAAGTCTGAAAGCATTTGGGTCATAGTAACCAGCAGTGTTATCCATCTTCAGTCACTGATTGCGGTTATCGCGTAGACCCCATCTAGCTAGTTTAGATCTACTAACATGGCTCAGACCTATGGTTATTTACTTTTTAAAGTGATCCCTGGTTATGGTTTGGCAGCCCCTATTTCCCGTTTTGAATTATATGGTCGACAGTACGTTGTGATAGACGGGTTTCGAGTACAAGCAAAACATTTCCCAGACAGTCGATGAAGATTCTCATTCTCAACAACAGAGTACTAGTTAGTTGACATGGATTTGAGTTACATGTTTTCATGAAGTCTAACAACAAATATTTCCTGGCTAGTTGTATACTACTTTCTGGAATTCATAGTATTTACCTGTTATTGCAAAACATATAAACTGTGCTATTCGAGATATTGTGTATCAGTCAATATGCACTAATATGAAGTGCAGAAACGTCATATCTTTCAACCTTTCTAAATTTAGAGTATACATCAGACAATAGGAAAAACTGAAGTTCACCGAAACAGTCTTTTTTAGATAAACCTTGGTTTGGTCCACAGAAAATATTCGCCTTAAAATTCCAAATAAAGAAATACATATTTGAATACATAACTTAGCAGTTTAATTACTTGAGTTGGTACTATTAATTTACGGGGTGTAGGACGTATTTTGAGCTAGCAGTATTGACGTTATGCATAAGCTACTAGGCAAATCGGTTGATGAGTTTATGAATCCTTACTAATCAAAGTAGCCAATACATGTATTACGTATGTTTAGTCACCTCTTACTCCGACGGGCATTGCTTTCTAGTGTAGGAGTAAGTTGTAGGAAAGCTGGAGACGACATAGCATCAGTCCATGAAGTCCCTAACTGTTTATCTGAATCATGTAAATAAATGAAAAGTAACTGGATGGGGCCAGCGTGACCAGTAGTTGAGGACTTTTATCAATATAATGTAAAATCGTTAATAATGGCCCTGATGCATACACTCATTATCTTTTTTCAGATTTGAATCCCATTATTGCTTCATATATCACTTTACACTTCCCTAGTTTCAATCCTCAGTCTTTTTCACTATCACTACTACCACATTGTTCCTGTCTCACTTGATATTCTTGTCAGTTTCATCTCATCGCCCTATTGCAGTATGACACTTAAGGTCAGTTTAAACAAATGCCAGACCAACGAGTCCCCATCGGCCACCTAAACGACTCTCTTCTGTGTCTAGACGCCCGACCTGAGCATTCAAGTCTCCGGCTAGTACCACAATATCTGTCGAACGCACTTTCTGGAGAAGAACAGATAACTGGTGGTAAAACTCATCCTTAATTGCATCCGGGCTGCAATCTGTCGGGATATAGGCGGAGATGACGAAAAGACATCGTTTCTCACGCCGATTTCTCACTTTGATGGAACTTTCCAATCTAACAGCACATAACCGATTGTTAATGGGGATCCAATCGATTAGTGCTGCCTCAGCTCTAGCGCTTAGTGCGACACCAACGCCAGCAAGACCAGACGAAGATGCCACAGGGTCCTCGGATAAGCGCACGTAAAACAAGCTTTCCGAAGCGACAGATGGAGATCGAATTTGTAGTACTTCGCCAGAGTCTTGAATACGGGTCTCGGATAGACAACAAACATCAGTATTAAGACTTTCCAAAGACATAGCCAGCCCTATCTGTTGTCCGACCTGCATAAATGTGCGAACGTTGAAGGCAGCCAGTTTGAATGGTGCACGTGGTTTCAGAAAAACTGCTTCAGTTCTCGTATTCGGTGGTAACATACAATTTTCAACCGGACAGTGACACGAGAACGTTTAGATACAGCCGAATTTCCACCAAAGACGGGCCGCCGTATAAGTATAAAAGAGGGTGAATAATGTGGAAAATAATAATAATGATAATAATAGTAATAATAATAATAATAGTATTAATAATGACAATAATTTGAATCAATTGTTTTTCGAAGCGAGAAAAGTAATTTCCATAGACATAAAGAGTTCATCATCTTGAAACACCGACTTCGGTGGCTTGGACATGCTCTACGAATGTCGTCCCAGAGAATTCCACGTCGTGCATTATTTGCCGACTCTGGGACTGGTTGGAAGAAGCGGAGAGGTGGTCAGTGCATGACATAGTGTCGTGGTATGAAAGAAAGCTGCAAAGGACTGGCTTCTGTTGGTCCTTCACGACTCCCTGGTTGGGGTCCGAGAGATGGTGCTACACAGTGGCTAGAGACGTTATCAGATATGGCTCGGAATAGAAGCCAGTAGCGATCCTGCTGTAACCTTCTTTTACATTCTTCATGAAAAGTGGTTGTGTCTCCCTTACCTGAAAGATTTCTTCTGATTGTACCTTTCCGTTCCGTCGTTACTACCACACTACCTTACACCAATCTCTTCGTTATTGTTCTCTTTTTCTTTTCGCGCTCCTTAGTTTTTTCTTTTTTTTCTACTTCTCTTCGAATTCTCATTGTTTTGTGTGGCGCATATATATTGGCGCTCTCTTGTACCAATATTCATGTGTTCAAATAAATAAATGAAAATTCTATGTTGATGATAACTCATTGGCTACAAATTGTGTTTCACCTAGACCGATTTAGAGTTTACTTTATCGCTAATCCTCATACAAGTGTTACGAAGTTGAATGCATGGAAATTTTTTTAATTATCAAGGTATATTGACATTATTGCAAGTTATCATCTTGTAGTTTGTATACAACTATAAAGCAACTAGCAAATGGTCAAACCTCTGGTTTTTTTCGAACAGAAATTTTAAAATGGATGTAATTAATCCGAAAACAACCATATAGAAAATAAACGTTCAATTCTGTTTAGATTCAAAAAGACAATTTCAAAACAGTTAAACTTCTGAAATTAGGAAGTTAAAAGTATCAATTCTATTGCGTTGGCCCTGTTACTTTGGGATTTTTATATTATTACTTATTCCATTTAGACTTGTATATCAGCAATCCCAGTAACCCTTAGTGCTGTTAAGCCACATACTGTTTCTTCAACGGTTCTCGAAGAAATAACATGTTTAGCAATCCGAAAACATCCTAGTTTACCGATTCAAACAGCTGATCTTATCAACCCAGATTCCTGGTATGAAGGCAAGTTATGGGTTGTTTATTTTAATTATATTGTAATATTAAAACCTTTTTAAATAAAAACGTAGTAACAACTGCAAATATTCTAATAGCAAAATATATTTCACATTTATGTTGTGCATCACTATTCCTCATCATACATATGTGTCAGACTAAAGTATCCTTTCCAGTTGCGATTCGTCATTTTCATATCTGCTTTCAATTCTCGACGTTGTGTGTTCCTTGGCCTTCTTTTTTTCCGTATCCCTTCAGGATTTCAAGTTAGCGTCTGCCTCGTGGTAAAGTTTCATGATTTCCGTAATGCATGTCCTATCTACCTCGAACGTGTTTCCCTAACTTCCTCTCCAGGTTGAAGCTGGCTTGTTCTCTCCTACAGTAGGCTGTTACTGATGGTATCCGGTCAACGGATATTGAGTATCTAGCGCAGACAACTGTTTATAAATACTTGCACCTTTTTGGTGATAGCTGTAATAATCTACGACTCATTTCCGTACAATAAAACTGTCTTGACGTTCATATTGAAGATCCTGACTTTGATATTAGCTGACAGTTGTTTTGAGTTCCATATGTTCTTCAACTGTAGGAATGCGGCCCTTGCATTTACGTCTGCACCGGGTCCTCCTTGTTTATCGATGATTTCCAGGTACGTATACCTTTACTCCTCTTCCAAAGCTTCTCCATCAAGTGTGATTGTGTTCGCTGTGTAGTATCTGAAGATCTGGCCTTTTTCCTTGTGTATGTTGAGGACTACTGCTCCACAGGCTGTCTTCACTTACATTTGTTGTTGTGTATGTGATAGAAGTCCAAATCGTCTAGTTGCATCCACGCTGTCCACTATATTTTGTGCTTCCCCTGATACACATATATAGTCAATTCAACTGCATTGTTTACCTGTTGATTTATTTCTTAACAGTTCAAGAGACATCTTCAACAACAGCCCAAGAAGTTGCTACATCGGATGCCCTGATTGCTGTTGGGACTGGTACTAATGCATCAGTTCGTTTATATGAGCTGGGTGCTCGTCAGAAAGGCTGTGTTGCTCAGTGTACGTTACCGAGTGCCAGTGGATCGGTCGAGGCATGTGCTTTTCCTGAAGATATACCGATACCATTTTCAAAAGAAATTCAATTCATCAATGTACCTAGAAGTTGTGTTTCTAGCTTTATGGACTATGGAATTTTTGCCGGTGGCCAGCAAGGAGAACTTGCCTCATGGGATATACGTCAAACAAAACAACCGTTATGGCAGTTAAATCGTAAGTTGATATTTGAGAAAGTCATTGATATCTTAATTATCAACCTTTTTGAAATTGAATTACGTCAAAAAAAACCTGAGTAGAATAACAATAATTGCCAGTAATATTTAATCTTAAAATTTCATAATGCTGTGACATTGAATATTTATTTAATTCTTTGAAATAGATGAAAAAGGTGCTGTTCAACAAATACGTGTATGTAGGCGACCTAATTGTCAATATCTATTGCTTGTTGTTAGCCGAAATGACGGACGAACTCTTGTTTATCCGTATGATCCAGCAACAGCACATAGTGATGCACAAATCCCTACTAGTCTGGAGCTTACTGGAGTGAATTGTGAACCTATATGTGGTCTTTCAATGGTTTATAAACCGTCAGGAGAAATTGGTGTTTGGAATGCAGCTCGCGGTGGAACTGTTAATCATTACACCAAACTTTTAGATGAGATAACGTTTAAAAACTTATAAACGATTACAGAGGTCAAATGCGTGGAAATCAGATTTTTGTTTTGTCAACACGGTAAATTTTATCCTTGCATTGAAAACCATGATATTATATTTATCATATGCGTACAAATTGTTCTAAAAGCAAACCAGTGATTTTTAAAAAAAATATCTTATTGTTATAAAATCACTCAAAAGGAATAAATTAACGACGATCAGTTTTCCCAGTCCCTCGTTTGCCTGAAAACAGATGTTTTGGTTTTAGTGTTGGAATATGACGATCTCCTTCTCCTTTCCGTGCTAATGTTACCACCTTACGTTGAGCAATTTTGGACATGCGTTTAACGGTATCATGCATTTTTTCATCACGTAAACCGGATCTAGATCGCGATACAGATGCACGTGCAATTGAAGCCTCACGGTGCAGATTTGGTGCTGAGTTCCGTGCTCTAGCAGCTCTCTTTAGTGAACGACCACGTTCGCCCTAAAAATTATAAAGAACAAATACCTAAGGTTATTTTGTCGACTAAACGTACGAAATGTGAAAAAGCTATTTAATATAAGCAACAGGTCCTCTATCTGTGGAAAATTCCGACCAGATTGTCGGGAAAGTATGTGATTTAAACAGCTAAAATCCTTTTAAAAGTTTATATAACTATACTTCTAAAAGTTGATTGAAAGAGAGAAATAAAGAAACGCTGACTTACTTGCTCATGCATATCCACTTCTAAACCAAGCTCACCCAGCTCTTGATGTATTTTATGTACACTGACTGAACGGGCGCTTCGAGGTACTTGAGGTCTACGTACTTGCTTACGAGCTCGTGATTCCAAAACACGCAATGCTCGTGCCTCTCTTATCCTATAATAGAGACGATTACATGCACTTAAGCCTGATATAACACAACAAAGCTTACAAAGAAAAAAAGTGATTACAAAGAAGATAATGCATTCTAGTCAAAAGGTTTACTATGGTTCATGGTGCAATCACACCAAACATGTAACACGAATAGGCTAACGCATAGACAGAAAGTAGGACAACAAATTTGAATTAATCTCACTTTTAACCGTTGATGCATTTGAATGGTATACTTTTAAATTTCATGCTGCTGGGTTTAGTAGCTTCTCACTTTATTACTATTAAAATACCGATCATGAAGATACAACAGTTTGACAGGTCAACAATATCAATATACAAAAAAATCAAGCTTCGTCTCTTTCAAATCTAGAATTGAAGCAGCTGAAGTTACTAACGGTCATACATATAGATTCAATAGAATATGTAAAACGTCTTACTTCGCTGCGGTTTCTCTGATTTTTTTCATTTCTGGGTCATTTTCTTGCTTCAGTAGTTCAGATTCATCGTAAAACCCAGCATTTTCGAAAGCAGCCTCTTGTTCTTCCAAAGCATTTAGTTTCTCCTCAATTTCAGGATCGAATAGGTCGATCAAGTTATGTCCATTCAAAATCTCAGGGATTGTATCATTTGCCTCTTCAGGACATTTTATACGCCAATGCTCTCTTAAATTCAATATGAAGCCTTCATCAGGATCAGCTTCTGGTTCACGATCACGCACGGTTCGACAACGTTTCGATGAGTCTTCATCTTCGTCTTCAAGTTGCGAGCTAGGTTGGAGTGAATTAGCAATACGAAGACGTTTTAGCATACGTCTCCTTTGTTTATCTAGAACACCGTCGGGGATTATCGGTGGACGAGATGGTGCATCTGTCTACATTAAAATAAATTTGTAAGAAAAGTGCATCGATCAGGGCGACTAGAAAAAAAAATGTAATCGGCCGGTTAAAACTAGGACTGTGTGAAAAATATTAACATTTAAATAAGAGTTCTTGATATTTATTTTATTTGAAAACATAAATATTGGTACAAGTGGGCAACAAATATATATGCGCCACACAAAACTATGAGAATGGGAAGAAAAAAAGAAGGAGCGTAAAAGAAAAAAAATAATAACGACCACAGATTAGTGTAAGGTAGTGTACTACTACTACTACTAATAATAATAATAATAATAATAATAATAATAATGGGGGCAACGGAAAGGTACAATCAGAAGAACTCTTTCAGTTAAGTAAGATACAAATACTTTTTACGAAGAAAGTAAAAGGTTACAGCAGGATCACCACTAGCTTCTATTCTGAGCCACATCTGATAAGGTCTCTAGCCACCGTGTCGCACCGTCACTCGGACTCCAGCCAAGGAGTCGTGAGGGACCAACAGAAACCAGCCCTTTGCAGCGTTCTTTCATGCTACGACACCATGTCATATACTGACCACCTCTCCGCTTCTTCCAATCAGTCCCAGCGTCGGCAAATAATGCACGACGTGGAATTCTCTTGGATTACTTTCGTTGTAGATCCGACCTTTTACAGCCAGACTGACATCACGAAGGAGCCAAAGATGGCCCAGATTGGCTCTGGCTTTCACTATACGTGCATTGACATCACCATTCATCCCACCACCAGCACTTGTGCAGCTATCTAGATACACGAACTTCTATCTGCTCACCATCCAGGGCGAGTACAGGATTAGAATACTGCCAGTTATGTAGAAGTACTTTGCAATTGGAAGGTGCAAAGTACATACCGTATCTACGGACATTGATTGCTAACTGATTAAGTGCGGATCGCATGCCTTGGGCATTATCGCACAGTAAGACAATATCATCCGCATACTCAAGATTGAGGAGTCATCGATGGCAAAGTTGAAGAGGAATGGTGAGATTGGGCAACCCTGTCTAACCTTACTGCTTGAGTAGAACAATGAAGAAAGATGGTTGTATGCTCTCACTCTGCTTGAGGTGTTTGTATATAGGGCTTTAGGATGTTAATAAACTTCTCAAACACACCCTTCTTCAATAGACAATCCCAGAGGACAGTCTTGTCCAACGAATCGAAGGCAGCCCTAATGTCAAGAAACACTAAGATTGTTGGCCTTTGATAAGTATGACAGTATTTTAGATTAGATGGTGGTTGGAGGTAGTCAACAGGAAACCCTGGACCCGGGTTTCGTGCTACTTGGCACTCGTCAGTAAGGTGTACCTGTAATCTTGAGGGAACTGGTGCTCCCTGGCGGATTCGATCTCGTGTCACCCAGCTTCACAGTCAGAGACGTTACCACTGAGCTATCCGAGCCGTGACTAACCTCCTGTAGGACTGAGATGTAATCACAATTGATTAATCACTGGGTGGTGATCAATCTAATAAGGACTAGACAAGCATGAGATTGATCACCACCCAGTGATTAATCAATTGTGATGACAGTATTTTAACATTTGGCGGAGAGCGAAGATATGATCAATACATTCTCGACCAGAATGAAATCCAGCCTGCTCCTCGCGAGTAAATCTTTCTCGAGTTTTGAACAACCTACGAAGTATGACGGAAGCCAATAGCTTGGATGCAGTCGGAAGTAGACTTATCCCCCGATAGTTGTTACAGGAACGACATGAACCCTTTTTAAAGATAGGGACAACTATCGACTCAATCCATGACATTGGTACGCTCTCTAGTTTTCAGATCTTTGTAAACAACGTTGTCAGTTCCTAGCCAGAAAGTCATCACCATCTCTAAAAAGAGCTGGAGGCAAGTCATCTGGGCCAGGTGATTTGTAGAGCTTCAAGAGTTGGAGTTCCTTGCAGACTTTCGCCTCATTTGGTGGATCAGTCGTCACCGGCCATGAAGGGCAGGACAGTCTGACCGATGCTGACCGAACTGCTCTTCGAAAAATTCTGCCCATCGTGCAAGACGTCGATGGATGTTAGTGATTGGGATCCCGTCATCTTTGCAGATTGTTTCGCTCACACCAGACCTCTTGCTGCCAGTGGCTCGGATGATTTGGAAGAGCTTCCGGTAGTTGCTAGATGAGGCTGCTACTTCCAGCTCATTAGCACGCCCCGATCACCAGGCTTTTCGGTCCTTACGCAAGTTTTGCCCGATTTCATTACGTAACAGCCTTCGTTTGTGGTGATATGTTTGAAATGTTTGAGATTGATTAACTCAACTTATTTACCATGTACGGATTTGTGTACTTGGCTTTCAGTAAGTATGAAGGTTAGCGATACTGCCCGGTTGGTCAAAACCAAGTGGGATGTAGTTTGAAATTGTGACTGTGGTCGGAAGTTGAACACGCTAACGACTGAGCTACTGCGTGAGATTAGCACTGCCTAAGCTGTGACTTGCCGGAGTCTTAAAGGTCGTGAAACTTAGTGACTTCAGATGTTGTCGGATATGGCCCATTATCAAAATCTGTGACGATAGTGAGGCAGTTGAGTGAAGTCAATCTTGAGGTCTTATTTTGTCAAGGTGCACAAACTATGATACAACACGGTAAATAAGTCCAGGTTTGTACACGAATTTTTGAGATATACTTTTGTAAGAAGGCTAATGATTTTACTTGGACGTCAAAATCACACAAGATGGAATTGAGTCCCGACACATAGATGCGGTATATCCCGTGAACTGGGACAGTGATGTTTTGTCAAGTGACAAGTGTTAGATGTAGAAGCATATAAAACCACAAAAATAGCATGTAGTATAATCATTCACCTGCAAAAAAAGTATGACATTACCTTGTTTCCGTCTGGTTTCGGTTTAGCTATATACAGTCGATTAGAGATATCAACATTACTGCCTGGCAGAGCGGCAGCTCGAATTTTTGCTTGTACACGTTGAGCTAACAAGTCATCACATGCAACTGAACGAACAGTTACTAAACCAACTTCAGTGACAGTGGACATTTCTACAAAGATTGGTCGATCCGGATCTCTGATCTGTCTATCAGTATGCCACTGGACAATACTATTAATTGATTGTTTATCTTCCTCAGATAGTGCTTCAAATGGTTTGATATCAACCTGGAAAGAGTGAATTGGAAGTTATTTGAGTTCTTACGATTTCTTGAACTGTTTTTAACTTAATGAATGAAACCAATTAGTTATTAGCTTCATTTTAAAAAGATATTAATAAGCCACCATTACATGGAAAAGTGTTAAAATTATTTGGAATACAAAATTATCCATTTACTAGAAATTACGTGCTTTACTCGTAATGAAGATTGAGTTTGTGAGTGGTTCATTCAAATAAACATAATATAGAGAAACCCACCTTAAGTACCTTTTACTATAGTAAAACACTTATTTTTTATGCACTTAAATGTCATGTTCAATTTACGACTTTATTTGTATGACGAAGATCGGAAGATACTTATCTTGCCATATATAACTGAACTTTACTACTAATCACTGCTTTTTACTGAAATTCTGGGAATTTCCTCTAGAAATTGGTCGCTAATAAATATCTGGTTTATATTAATGCAGGTGTATAGAGATTATTAGTTTACATCACGTACTGACTTTAAGTACATAACTATTAAGAGCGAGGAAGCAGTGAAAAGCTGTTTAGTCCCAGTATGAGACAACAACCCATGTTAATTACTCTGCAAGGGAATAGGTATGAAACTTTAAATCTCTCCCGGAAAGCCCTTCTTTGTAAGTAGGAACACAAAAATAGATCGAGGAACATCTTTTTAATAAATGACTGCACAAACCTACATTATTGCGTTTGTACAAAAAGAAAGGTAAACAAATTAACGTGAAGTAGGACTGGAGCACTGAAACATGGATGGTGTTTTTCAGGAAGCGAAATCTGCGGTACCCTAACGTGGAAATCAATAAAATCAGTTGAAGTAGTGATTATGAATACTGCTAGATTGAAAAAATATCGACAAGAACATCGAAGATGAGAGAGGTTTTAAATTCGGCAACATCACTTTTGAGATGAATAAAAACCAAGATATAAGTTCTGTGTTTTTGTTAGGAACAAATACCTCGTCAATTTAATACAGGGTCCAAGCAAAAGTTACTGTACCAAATGAGGGTATAGAACTGATCGATGAAGCAAGACAAAGTTAAGGAGTCAGAAGTTCCAACCAGTTTATTTTATTGATCTAAAGTTCATCATGAGTATGATGGGGTATGTAAGTTAAATAATATTCTATACAGTAACGTCAACATAATAGTAGGTAACGAATTCAAATTGAACACCAGTTGTAACATTAAATAAAAAAATTCGCGACCATTAAGGTTATAGTTGGTATCGATGGCAAGGTTCAGTGGAAGTGATAGCAATAGTGCATTGCAATGTTAGAAAATCACTATCCAAATGTTATTATCTGGTATCTGTTGGAGTTGCTTGCTTTTTTTGTTTATATTCAACGTTGTTATTGATATGTCGAAAGAAATACCTAGTATTTGTCTGATTGTCTGTGGATTCATTTTGTTATCGTGACGTTCACAATGAGCTGAAATGCCAGATGCTCCTTTAGATGTAGTTTTGTCTGGTGAAGACAGTGAGAAAGGACGAAACTGATTCGATGTATAACGGTATGTTTTAGAAGTGGTGACGAGGTGGCCATTGTTTTGGTTAGGAAAAAACCTAATCAAATTTGATATAGCTTCGATGCAAAAGTTACTGTACCATAAATGAGTACAAAACTGATCGTCGAAGCAAAACATAGTTAGGTGGTTAACAAGATTGGAGATTTCTGATGTCGAACTAGTTACCATCTATCTGGATTGTCACATCGCTTACTTCTCAGTCAATCAGGTCAAATCTACTTGGGTTACGCAAGTAACGTAGTTATGCGTACTGGAGACAGTGACACAGAACTGGACCCACTTACCGACATACACCATCTGTCGTTAGCAGTTTTTGTGGACACCGAAGGGCGAATATGCCGCACAACTGTTCGTTTTGTATCAAGTCAAAGGTGTGAAAAATCAAGATATAGTTGTAAACATTCAGTTAGTTTTTCGAAAGTCTGTTTGGACGCGGTGTTACTGCTAAGTAAAAAATACTGCTGTTAGGAGTACATTTATAGGTTACACACTGATAAATTAGTTCATACGGTTTTAAAGCTTCATTAGTTAAGGTTGTTGGGGCATGTGTTATTTATGTTCAGTGACTACCCCTCTTTGGTGAGGATAAGTTAGGATAGCATAATACAACAGGTGACTATGATAGAAATTTCAAAGACTCTGCATAAACATAAGTAAACTTTGTTTTCCAGTCTTGAGTATAGCCAAAAAGAGTGCAAAGATAATAAAAAAATGAGTGAGAAAAGTATGTACAAATAAAAAAGTAAAATTTTCAGACCGAACCCAGTTATATTTATAACGGAGATTTCAAATAGAATAACCTGATAATACGTTAATAATTAAGTGATGAACGATAGCATTGTTTTTATGGTATATAGTTGAATGTTGTTGACAAGAAACTTCTGCTTATCACTTGCCCTCAATGGGCTCTTTTAGCACTAGACGGGATTTAGGTTGACTGACATGTCTACTTCTGTTGAGTACAACAAAAAATAAACAACAGGCGAGAAAATTATTTTGACCTTTCACATCAATATATTACGTGACTTGTTTGGAAATTCAGTGACCTAAGTGCAAAGTTGTGATGAATATCATCTGAACCTCTTGAACTGCAGTTTAAGTAGTCTAACTTAGATCGTCACTGTTTCCATCCATCAAAGTTCTAAAAGTCAGCTGTAATTACTTGCAGTTTAAGAAACGTATAGGTTAGACTGACAGAACTTTTACGGAACTTCTTTGTGGTACTCATTAGCTTTCTAACGGAAATCGCTTTAAAAACATGGGTCTATCTGAGTCTACACGAATAATTACTATGGGTTTATTATTAGTTTTATAACAGTTCAGTAAACTGAAACCACTGTCATCTTATCCTAGGGATTGACACAAGTGAAGAATTCGAATTCATAGATAAGGATCGACAATCATTAGGATTAGGTTACAATTAATTAAGAAGTTGCAAATGTAACAATAGTGGATTCTGATGATATAATTATATAGAGTGATGTAACAACACATCAATTATTTGGAGGTTTCAAGCTTACTTTATTAGCGGCTATTACAAGAGGTTTGTTACGGAAAAGAGGTCTCAAGTTTTGGAATAGCGTTAATTGTTGTTGTATAGTATATCCACACTGTTCAGACAAATCCATGATATATATTACAGCAGCCTGTAGATGTGCAAGTGCTGTAATGGACAGCATTTCGATCGTGTTATGTTCGTCCAAGGGTCTATTTAATACACCAGGTGTATCAATTACTTGCCATCGTAAATTTTTATAATCCGTGTGTCCAACAAATAAAGATTTAGTTGTAAACGGAAACGGCTGAACATCTACATCAGCTCGAGTTATCTGAATGAAGAAATGAAGGTAAATGGATATCACATTTCGATGTATACACATGAATGAAAAAATAAGCTTTATTCATGAAAAAAACACCATTTCACTAGAATTTATTTGGTAAGTACGTCAATGTGAAGAAACGTCTAAATTTTTCAAACATGTAAAAGACTGGCTAAACTAGTGTCAAGTTGAATTTTGTTCTACTGTGTCAATTCTAATATGACTGGCGCAGCTGTTTAGCATTAAAGTGTACTATATGAAGAGAACACTTGAAAGTTCTTATACTATCCCAGTTTCAATTCCTCGTCTAGAGATTATTTCCCACACAAAAACTCCACTTTAGTTGTGTATGGTTACTAGAACGATAGTTTTACATGTAATCAAAAGCCATATACATGTAAATGAAGCTTAATCGCTAGCAGAGATAACCACTTATATTAAGCGCTGGAAGTCTGATCAGCCCAAATGGGTTGGTGTCTGACGAAATCTCAGCACGGATTCGAAAAGCTCGTTTGGCTTCTGCCAACTTACGTCACCTATGGCGAAGGCGAGATATCCGTCTATCAAGTAAGGGACGAGTATACTGCGCGGCAGTCCGTTCAGTTTTAATTTACAGCAGAGAAACATGGCCATTAAGAGTAGAAGATACTCGTAAGCTACTAGTATTTGACCACAGATGCTCTAGAAATATTGCTGGCGTCTGCCGGGATCACCGGGTAAGTAATAGTGAGGTTGGACACAGGGTATTAAGGAATGATGGTAAATCAGTTGATGAGGTCGTGAATCTTCATTGAATGAGATGGTTGGGCCACGTGTTGCGTATGCCTGAGCACCGATTACCAAGGCGTACAATGCTAACCGGTGCTGGAGATGGTTGGATGAAAGTTAAGGGCGGCCAAACCGAAACGTGGTATCAGTGCTTGATGTCACTAACTTCTAGTCTGAATCATGTTGATAGATGCAGACTACTTGGTTGGGGTCCATGTGACTATTGTACCCAATGGTTGGAGACTTGGTGACATGGCTCAGAATCGATCATAAGGGCGTCGGTGTATACACTCTCTGTCTTCCCTTAAACTAAGAGGTTAAAATCGCTTCATATCTTTCTACGTACAGATTCTTTCTTCCTGTACTATATCCTTATATGCAATCTTTCTTTTATATATTACCACCTCTGAATTAACTACTTTTATGAGTCCGGTGTCCATCTTGTTGTGTTAATGAGGTATGACAGCTTGGACCGATGCATATATGTACCTGGTCCTACGTTGTAGCTGACTGACTGACTTATATTAAGAGCATCTGAAAAGTCACTATAAGTAAAAGGATTTAAATAGATAACACCTATAATCACTTTTGGTTTAGTAAGTAGTTCCGTCCCAGTAAATGGAATTTTTTGTGGAAATTATGAATAACATAACAGCATGATGAGCAGAGATGCCATTTTGGTGTCAATTGATTACATTAAATCTTATATATCATAATCAAAGTTTTGCAAAGCATCCAAAATTATGGATAAATACTGGTTGGTATCACACTAGTCCGGTCGTTTGTTGCTTTTCGCCACACGAAATCTACACTCTTAATGTGGTGACGATGAATTTAGGGTGAAATACCTAAAAAGATAAGTCTTCATGGAATTGTAAATGTAATTATTTCTACGCAACTGGGAATGGCCGGTAACACCGATGGTTGGTTGAATTGACTGGGAATCAAGTTATTATCATTTGATTTTTGTCAGTGAGATATATAGACCCGGAATTATAATCATTTAGACAGATCAGTTCACTCAAGGAAACTTGACAAATTACAATTTGCAAATGAATCTCTGGATTTATTGTAACTGGTCAGTATAATGTTCAGCATAAAAAATATTATTTAAAGCAATGTGACATCTACTTTTTTAAGACGATTTAGTGATTCCCCTAGCCTTTTCTCGTTCGTTTTTTTCTGAGAGTAGTTTGCTTGTCTGAAATCAATGTGGAAGTAGTTTACATGAGTTAGTGAGGCATAAAACATGGGAACGGGATCATAGTTACATAAATACACAAGCGGCTCGAGAATACATAATAACACTGGCAAAAGAGGATACCAGACTTGCTAACTTACCTTATTTATAAAGCTCGACTTTCCAACATTCGGGAAACCACATAGAATGATAGTGCGAGTATCCGGATCAATGCTTGGTAACCTAGACATGTGTTGTCGTGTATCTTCCAAGAATTTCAAGTTATCTGCTTGTCTCTTGATTACTGTACACATCCTAACCTTTGGTTAATTGTAATTTATTTAACTTGCCTTCCTAGAGCAGCTCGTTTGAGTGTTTTACATTGATATAGGGATTCTGCATACTTTAATATCTTCACCTGGTCTCGACCGATGCTGAGAATAATACATGAAAGTAAAAGATATTACCCATCAATCAAATTCTTGGCAGTATTAAGCTGACTTAATGCAAGTTTGTAGTGATCTTTGGAATATAAAACGTTTATGAGATCTGCATAGAATGGATGTATATTCTAAACCTTATTTGGAAAAATTGCTTAGCTACCTCCACTTTAGGGAATTCTGTGAGAATTGTTTGAAGTTTATCATGGTAAAACTGCTGACACGTTTTGACTTTACGCATATAAAAATGTCTAATACGTCCGATTGCATATTGCGGATGAATAACAGTCGGAGTTTTCCTTTGAGTTTTCGACAAGACGATGTCAATAAAGTCTTTGGATGACGGTACTACCGTGATGCTCTTGAAGTTGTAGCACGGCATGTCAGGTATTTGTTGGTGGTGGATGGAATGTGACCTTAACAACTGGCAGAAATAAACAAGATTCAGTTCTGAGCATCAGAGGAACGAAAAGCATATCAGTCAGCTTTTTTTAACGTTTGAACTGGGTGTGTTAACTAAGAGCTCTCGTTTTTTAATTTGATTGACAATAAATTCCGAAACGTGCTCTATGGAAAACACGTAGCAATCGTCTTAGTCTTCACTATTGAGGATAGGAGGTCTGTCAGCCCATAATTATCCTTACAATTTATAACACTGTGGGGGCCTAGTATCACTTCGAATGTATCAGCAGGAGGTGATGATAATACGTGGTGTTGTAGATAATTCCAGTAATTCACTACTCAGTAAAATAAACGAAACTGTTTCAGTTTGGAAAGAACGGTAGGCTTGATGGCCTGTGTTAGTCCTGGCAATGATGGTCTCTCAGTTGATCCAACCTTCTTTTGAAAGAGTCGATGGATGGAGCCTCAGTCACGTGCTGAGGTAATGAATGCCTGAAGAGGAAGTTAGGCAAACACGTTCGAGGTGGATGGGACATGCATTACGGAAATCACGAAACTGCATCACAAGGCAAACTCTAGCTTGAAACCCTGAAAGGATACGGAGAAGAGAAAGGCCAGGGAACACAATACATTGAAAATCGAAAGCAGATGTGAAAGGGACGAATAGTAACTGGGAGCAACTGGAAAGGATTACCCAGGACAGAATTCAGTGGAGGACGTTGTTGGGCGGTCTATGGTCCTCCACGAACTGTAACAGGGTTTAGTACGTAAGTTTTACGCCAGATACCGTATTTTACAGATTAATTGTTTGGTTTCACTGATTTTCTCAATTATAAACTAAGACACCTCACCGGGTTGGTCGAATAAAAGATTCTAGATATACTGTTGGACAAGAATTCTTTCTAGACACGTTTTCTGTCATCTGGAATGTGCTATCAGCTGAATTGTATCAGAATTAGGCAATAAGCCGTTTTATTCATGAGTTAAATGGACTTCTAGATGACTATAGAACACTACATAAGCTGGCAGTGAACTCAAACCAACGCTGCCAACGATACTCTTGGTTCACTGGATGTAAACAACAATCATACAAATCACCTAAATGTATCAACAGAAGGTGTTGATATTACGTGTCCTGATACAGAATCCCAGTACTTCACTACTCGGTGCGAGAAACGAAATTCCAGACGTAAGTTATTTGATCTCGGTTTTTGAACTATTGTCGTATGTCCTCTCAAATGAAAAGTCCTAGACGGAAGGAAAGGACAATTTGATGCGAATGATCATAATGGAAGAAAACAATGCTCAGATTGTCACATCAGTAAACGTCAAGTACATCATCATAATGCAAAACCCAAATTACGTTTCCAGAAAGTGACTCCAAAGTACTTATAACTTCGTATTTCCAATAGAAATTCTTGCATCCAGAAAGGCTCTTATAGCAGCCACCCGAAGGCTAGTGTTAGGTAACACGAAAACATGAACAAAATTCTGCGTTTTGTAAACTTCATGACGCCTGTAGCATATGCTACCAACAGTCCATTTTTGTGAACCATCCATATGGCGCTCCATCTTCTACACTGCAAAATTCAGTTTTAATCCAACAACTGTCTATTTGTGCACCAATATTTTGTTATCCTGACTTCTCATTAGAAGTTTCGTTATTACACGCCGAGGAAAATGGACAAACGCTTGACGTCATAAATGAAGCAACATTTCTAACCATTTGATCATGTCTGTAAATTTGCATGCGTCATGTAACTTATAGTTGTTGAAAATAAATCGTTATCCCTATTTCAGGACGTCACATAATGAACCGTCTGTCGTTACCAGACGATCGAATTATTCAGAGGCCTTCCCAAGGAATGGTAGGTTACCATCATAGTTCATACGTCACTACCGAATTTCAGCTGGCGACCACGTCAGCAATGTAATCACCTCAGGAAAAAGATTAAAACAGGCTCTTCCATTCTAGGTCCAACACTGTCTGGACACCAAATACTCGGACACCACAGGCTAGTACTTATTAACAGTCACGAGTCACATATGTAGTGGCATTGGGCCCTAGCCACACACACTCAAAGGCGAACACGAAACAACTGGTAAAATAGGTATTCAACATTCAACATTACATAATAACCAATCTTCTATTTTTGGATTAGGTCTATTATTAGAGCGGTACTAATATAGAAGTAGACCATACTTCTACACGTATATAACTAAAGATTTAGGCGCTTAAACACACATATTGGTCGGGCGTAACAAAGTAAAAGCACCACTTGTCCCTTCATTCGAAGAGCCATCTAAAACTATCACAAAAGCCCAAATGTTTCGTTGTACAAGATTACAGAGACGCAGAAACAATAGGTATATGTGGACCGCCATATGCGGTATTAGACCATTTACCGGGCAAAATGATTACAGCAACCAGAATCCCACATATTTGACCAAAAGAGTTAGGCGGTACAACTGGTTGTCCAGCCAGGGGTATCTGAAGTTTTTGCTCAATCCTAAAATTTCATTACTTTTATTATTATTAATGGCTTTATTCACAATTATATTTTGGTACGACATAATGTTTTCAGCACAAGATATTTCAACGAGTTTCTTTCACAAAAAAACAAAAACAAAAAAGAATGGAGAAAAGTTAAAAGAGAAGCCGAAAAACTGTACGATTTTCCAAATTAGAGGCATGTTTAAAAATACAGATTATTGACTAAGTTAACTCTAACAACCTGTTTGTCACAGAGCATATTTGCTAGGTAAGGTATTATAGAACTTTTATGCTTTCGCTTGCGTGCATGGATTTTAATGTAATTACGTCTCGTTCTACTAGAAGATATACAAGGAGTGTAACAGAAAGAGAACAGTGAAAATCCCTCTGCAGCTTCTTTGTTGAACAGTATTTTCATTTATTTGTTCCTTCTCCATTTTGTGTATTCCAACCTTTGTTTCGATCTCGTTTAACCATGTCTTTTGTTCTTCAGTCTTCCCCGTTTGAGCCTTTATTATGTGGTTTTGATTAAAGACTTATTTTTGTTACCTAATTTTCTATTGCATGTTGCCAGACCATTGACAGTAAGGTTGTGTTTGACTAAGCTCAAGGTCACGGCGTGGTTCATTTTGTGACTGTTAACCTTCTGACTATCTGCTTGGGAGAATTGCTGCAATCCCTGCAGATAGATATTTGATCCCATCTTATTGGGAATATTTGTATTGATTCTCAGGTATCAAACCCTTTAGTATTAACTGTCTCTTTCATTGTTTAGCGTGCTACTTTGCGTTAGAGAAACTTCTGACTGTATAGCACAGGCTGTACCGTTTGAGGTATTTTGTATTTTTGATGTAATTTGTTCTGTTCTTAATTAGAACCGTTTATATTGAGCACAGAGTTTGTGTTTTGATATAATATAACACGAGTATCTCAAAGACGCGTTGTGAGCTATACAGAGGAACTTGGTCTGGTCTAATCGAATAAATTTTGGGTTCGTCAGTCCGTTGTTCCAACCGAATATTGGCTGTTCGGTCGTTACAAGGAGAAAGATAGGAGTGAACGGGATGGTTAGTATCGATAAAATAACACCTGCTAAGAGTTTGCATGACTTTACATGTCTATCCACAACCATATTAATTATGACCTCGGAAGATTCACCATACATCTTTCTAACTGCCTTCAGCACTTTCCGCATTACAGCAAAGTCTTTTCTCAAAAGCCTGGGAAAGAATAATTGAGAAAAGTAAAAAATAATAGGTAAAATGCAAGAATTGACAAATTGTAAGAATAAAATGGCGAGTAACCCCGAAAGCGTGAAGCCTATTTTTGTAGTAAGTCAGTTGAAAACTTTCTTCGGCAACAGTAAAACGTGAGAAGACCAAGAGAGATCAGAGGAAAAGTAACACCACGATAACTGACCTTCAGCAATGTGTTTATCAAAGAGCCTCCAATGGCACAAGCATTATGAGATTACGAAATGGTATTTAGATGCCGTTCATGTCTCATGCTAAGGTTAAGAGCTCGACATTTAGATGGATTAAGTCTGAGACCATTAACAACAGACCAACAATCAATACGAGACAAAAACTCATTAATTTCTGTGGGATGTAAAGAGGAAAAGAGAGGTATACATATAGTGAGATCATCTGCATATTTCACAAAAGTGTTTTCTGTGGAAGATGACAGGTCATGCAGAAGAAAAAGAAGAGTTGAAAGAACGGCTTCTTATGGTACACTTTCATGAGACAGTAGAGACTCGGAACACTTTCCTCCAAATACAGTACACTGTATTTGGAGAAGGGTAGGAACATAGCCAGTTTGTTACCCAGCTGTCAATGTTGACGCTGATTAACTTGCTAAGTAAACGTTGTCTTGGTATAGAATCAAAGGCAGAAGTATATTCCAGAAAAGCATATCGAACTTACTTCCTACCATTTTCCAAGTTCAACAATATATTTTGATGCAGAACAGCAACGGCAACTAAGGTGCTTCTTTTTCATCTGTAAATAAACTGATAAGGGTCAATGTACTCTTTTGTCGCAGGCTGAAGTGGAAGTATTAATAATTTTTCCATTGTTTTGAGGAAGGGTGAAGTTATTGCAATAGGTCTAAATTTCACATTCTTATCACCAAGTACTTTATTGGGTACAGGGATTAGCTTCATCTTGCTCCACATTTTCGGTATGAGATTAGATGAGAAGGATCTGTTAAAGATAGTCGTGAATGGATAACATAGGACGTCCGCATATTTCCTAAAAAGACGTTTTGGGATACCATCAGGTCCCAAACATCGTGATGAATTAAGCGACTGGAGACATCTTCGTGCATCAGTCTCAGTGAAAGTAGGAACACAGCTATTCTTTAAACCTGTGGATAAAGGGAGCATCACATCAGACTACTGACGTGTAAAATACTTATTGAAGTCACAAACATTCAGCTGGCTATCGCTCCTAAATTGTCTGTCACCTGTAAGTTCTTTAAAGAGTTTCCACATACTTGGAGAGTTTTTACAAGACAAGAG